GTTTGTTATGGTTACTGTTGGCTGTAACACAGATGGTACAATGCCGACAGGCAGATAACATCGAACTGGAACCACACTTTGCCACTGGGGTTGTATGGGCCCACGACAGGGGTCACTGGAACCCCCTTGCACCCATTCACGCTGCCAGTCAGTCCCCCTCCTGGTGTCCCAGCTACGTCACAACTGGTCAATCTTATTTTTAATGGTCCCACAGCAGAGTCCCCAGCTCACGCCGACCTCACTAGAGTCATAGAGGTATACAGCACGGAAACAGACCCTTCAGCTCAACATGTCCATGCTGATCAGGTCTCCTAAACTGAATTAGTCCCATTTGCCAGCATTTGGCCCATATCCCTCTAAACCCTTCCTTTTCATGTACCCATCCAGATGCCTTTTAAATGTTGTAATTGTACCAGCCTCCACCATTTCCTCTGGCAGCTTGGTCCATACACGCAGCACCCTCTGTGTGAAAAAGTTGCCCCTCAAGTCCCTTTTAAATCTTTCCCCTCTCACCTTAAACCTATGCCCCTCTAGTTTTGGACTCCCCTACCCTGGGGCAAAAGACCTTGGCTATTCACCGTATCCATGCCCCTCATGATTTTATAAACCTCTATAAGGTCACTCCTCAGCCTCCGACACTCCAGGGAAAATAGTCCCAGCATATTCAGTCTCTCCCTGTAGCTCAAACCCTGGCAACATCCTTCTAAATCTTTTCTGAACCCTTTCAAGTTTCACAACATCCTTCCTACAGCAGGGAGACCTGAACTGAACACAGTATTCCAAAAGTGGCCTCAACAATGTCCTGTACAGCTACAACATGACCTTCCAACTCCTATACTCAATGCACTGACCAATAAAGGCTAACATACCAAATGCCGCCTTCACTGCGACTCCACTTTGAAGGAACCATGAACCTACACCCCAAGGTCTCTTCATTTGGCAACACTCCCCAGGACCCTGCCATTAAGTGTATAAGTCCTGCCCTGGTTTGCCTTTCCAAATTGCAACACTACTGGTACCCTTGTTATGTTCAATGTTACTACCAGCTCTGACTCTACCCACGTTACTGTCATAGATCTTGCATCTACATCTCCCACGGGCACAGCCATCACCACTGGATTCCCACCACCAGTTAGGTCACCGCTAGATCCTGACTCTCCAGGACATTACCGCTGGCTCACCTTATTGTCACTAAACTCTAACTGACACTAACGTCACCACTTACCTTCCGCTGGCAATACTATCAGAGACCTTGTTGTTGGACCCACTCTTTGCAATGACGACGCAATTGGATCCCTGTAATCAATTATGATACACTCCTGGCCCACCCTGTAGCATATATTCCACAGCATCACTGGTACTGCCATCACTAGTTGGCAGCAAAGGCAAGGGCAGCAGATACATGGGAACACCACCCCCTGCAAATTCCCCTCCGAGCCACTCCCCGTCCTGACTTGGAAATATATCGGCCGTTCCTTCAGTGTCGCTGGGTAAGAATCCTGGAATTCCCTCCCTAAGGGGCATTGCGAGTCTACCTACGGCAGGAGGACTGCAGCGGTTCAAGAAGGCAGCTCCCCAACACCTTCTCAAGGGGGGAGATAAACGCTGGGCTCGGCCAACGATGCCCACAAATTAAAAACAAAACCCACGACAATGCAAAACGTTGCCAGTGGACTTCCTAATGGCAAGGGCATCAACAATGATCTATCGATGTGAACTCTGGACTTTATATGGGCACTGACATCACCATCACACTACCACTGATGGCACTACTACAGTCTCTCACTGTGCTGGAACCTCTCACTGGCACCGACGCCACGACTGAATCCTCTCACTGATCCTGCCAATAACAATTGGAACATCTCACAGGCGCAACTCACCACTGGGCACTTGCACTGGAATTAACCCCATCAGTGGATTCTCTCACCACCTCTCACTGGCACTGCCATCATCACTGGATTCAGTAACTAGCACAGTGCCACCACTGCATGCTCTCACTGGCACTCACTCTCCCCTGGATCCTCCCCTTGGCACTCACTCTCCCCTGGGTCCTCCCACTGACACTCACTCTCCCCTGGATCCTCTCCCTGGCACTCACTCTCCCCTGGATCCTCCCCCTGGCACTCACTCTCCCCTGGATCCTCCCACTGACACTCACTCTCCCCTGGATCCTCTCCCTGGCACTCACTCTCCTCTGGATCCTCCCACTGACACTCACTCTCCCCTGGATCCTCCCAATGACATTCACCCTCCCACTGACACTCACTCTCCCCTGCACCCTCCCACTGTCACTCACTCTCGCCTGGATCCTCCCACTGACACTCACTCTCCCCTGGGTCCTCCCACTG